GCACAATGGTTATAATGCAGTATTGCAGGCTAACTCTGCCCACTGTCAGCAGTTCAATCCGGACTGGCTCAAGGTTGACTCAGCCTCCCATCCTTCCAAGGTCAGAAAATGAGGACCCAGTTTTGTTGAGGCAAGAGGCTGACTTTGTAAACCGCTTAGAGAGGGCTGGGGCGGACTGTGAAGCAGTATATACATCTAAGTGCTATTGCCCTAATGAAAAGAAGGATTTGAGGTGACATGACAGCAATATCTAAGTCCTTCACCCATGACCAGTCCATCTTTAGCCAATGCAACATCACTGGGATGTTTTGGGAAACGCTGAGGTGTTAGGCTGGTGAAATTCCACATTTAGGGCAAATGGCCTTGAAGAAGTCTGGCACGAACCAGATTCCACACCACTCTGTTCTTCTTCAACTATCCCCCCCTTCCCTAATTCCTACCTTGGAAGCATACAGATTTATTGCCCATGTGTCCCCCTGTTTCCCTCTCCTTTCCCCATTGCATTGATGGCACAATGCCAGTGAGGCCCCAAGCCGAAGTGAGGCCCCAAGCTGGTTCTGAAATCTAGGCTGATCTGGCTCACCCTAAGTGAAGTTTTTCCTGAGTGTTGTATTGTAGGCAAAGTCTCAGAATACCCAGCCAAGTGGTCCTTGGTCCAATACATTTGGAGACCCCCAGGCTGGAGAAAGACACATGTGTGAATACGGTAAGGACCGAACCTGTGGATTTTGCCACAGGTGGCAAAAATGGAGGAACTTTGAACCTTCCCTTTTTCCTTCTGCTCTACTACCAAGTTATGGTCCTTCTTTTTTTTTTTAATAAAGAGTTTTATAATTTTTTAGTTACAAAAATAAACATTCCATCTTTCCTTAAGGAATGTGTCATCTGGGTACAAACAACTCTGTGCAATATCGTTCCACATTTGCCTCATCTTTCACATTAAATATTAACATTATTTCCCTAAATTTAGTATTATAATATATTGAGCTTTAACTGTAAACATTATGAAACTCTCCATTTTTCTTCTTAATATCTTCTAGTAATAATATCATATCAACATTAAACATCATTATTCTCATCATACACATACTAACAGTTTTCATCTTATTTATATTTCTATCAAAGTGTATTATCTACCTATTTTTTAGCTTTCTTCATTTCTAAACTCCTTTTTTTTTCCTCTTCAGCCACTGGTAAAATACTTCCCAAATCATATAATATTCAGTTTGCTCTTTCTCCTTAATTTCTAATGTTAATCTGTTCATTTCTGCACATTCTAATATTTTCCTTATCTACTCAGCACTGAAAGAACTGAACCCTAAGAAGCGGAGATTATTACAAGCCGTAGCTGTGAAAGCTGTGATTTTAATATTTCCTCGTGCAGTATAAACACTCAAGCACACAAGTGTTAAAACCAACAAGGGCGATAGAAATCTTGAGCTGGTAAAGAGAAACGGAAAATAATAAACCTTTGCTCTCAAGGTGTTCTGTGAGAGAAACTCTGCCTGGTTAGAATAACAAAATACACTGCTGTAGGAAACAAGGGCTTTAGCACCCATCACCCCCCACCCTTGAGCATCCTGGCTGGGGCTAAGAGGAGTCGGAGTCAGCAACATCCAGATGGCTACAGGTTTCTCAACTTTGCCTTAAAACTGTGGAGCTTCCTGCGATGCATATTTTTAGCCTGCTCCTGAAACGAACCCACATATGTAATAGATTCTCCTTAAATTTTGGCTATGTTGCTGGCTCACTTCCTGGCAACTCAGAAGGGAGGGCGGACAGGGATAGAAAGCATGCCAAAAATATGGTTGTGGATTAAAAGGAAAAAAAGAAGAAAGACCTTTTAAGCAAGTAGCACCAACGATGGCGCAATGAAAGCGTGCTTCCAAAGCATTCCAGAAATCTTGTAAAAATACAAGTCTCCAGTTCTTATAAACTACAATTTTTTTCTCTCACTGTTGATTGGACCCCTCCCTGTGATTTATGGAAACTGGTGCCTACAAGGTAGGAAGTGAAGTGGTTAGACAGATCCTCTTTCAATTAAAATAGGTGTAGAGATCGTTAGCTTCTCCACTTTACATTGAAAAAGCTAGCTGCGTTCTTGGGAAGGGAGTAAAACAACAAAATAGCAGAGTTGGAAAGGACCTTGGGGGTCTTCTAGTCCAACCCCCTGCTTAAGCAGGAAATCCTAGATAATTTCAAACAAATAGTTATCCAATCTCTTCTTAGAAATCTCCAGTAATGGAGGACCCACAACTTCTGGAGGCAGGTTTAATTGTTCTCACTGTTAGGAAATTTCTCCTTAGTTCTAGGTTGCTTCTCTCCTTAATTAGTTTCCATCTCTTACTTCTTGTTCTGCCTTCAAGTTAGGGTTAGGGTGGCAGCCCCTTACATACTGGAAGACTGCTATCATGTTTCCCCCAATCCTTCTTTTCATTAGACCAAGGTAAAGGCAAAGGTTCCCCTTGCACATATGTGCTAGTCGTTCCTGACTCTAAGGGGCGATGCCCATCTCCGTTTCAAAGCCGAAGAGCCAGTGCTGTCCACAGATGTCTCCATGGTCATGTGGCCGGCATGACTCAATGCCAAAGGAGCACGGAACAATGTTACCTTCCCACCAAAGATGGTTCCTATTTTTCTACTTGCATTTTTTACGTGCTTTCGAACTGCTAGGTTGGCAGAAGCTGGGACAATTAACGGAAGCTCACTCCATTATGCAGTGCTAGGGATTTGAACCTCCGAACCTTTCTGATTGACAAGCTCAGCTCAGTTTTAACTACTGAGCCACCACGTCCTTTCATTACACTAGACATACCCAATTCCTGTAACCGTTCTTCCTATATTTTAGCCTCCAGTCCCCTAAAAGCTACTTCAACTTCTTGTAAGCGCTTATCAAGAAAAATATAACCATTCTTGGTTTAGGGAATTTAGGGCAGGGAGAAAAGGCTAGTAATTTTCATGAGAAAATGTAGTATTACTGGACTCTAACATCATCCAGTCTCAAAATTAGCAGCTCACTTTGCCTAAGGGTTGAGCTGTCCCGAAGTAAATCATTTTTTTTTAATAAACCCACGTTCCTTTTTATTTATTGTAAAAATCAAATTGAGATAACAAGAGTTGGCAGACTTTCAGACAGGTCAGTTTAAAGCTGAATTTGAAAGAGAAAGCGTTTTTTAAAATATATTAATACTTTGCAATTTAGCATTGGGATCCAGAATGGAAAATTTTAAAATAACCCCATGGTGGTGATTGGCAAAATTGTTTGGCCAGCTGGATCTCATGTGGGACAGAAAAGGCAGGTATACTTCAGTCACACCTGAAAAGTTATCAGTTNAAGAAGAAGAAGAAGAAGAAGAAGAAGAAGAAGAAGAAGAAGAAGAATGGGAGGGGGAGGGGGAGACTGGATAGCCAATTGTCTGAAATGGTATAGGTCCTCTGCTTGAGCAGGGGGTTGAGTAAGAGTAAAAAGAAGAGGAAGAGGAGGAGGAAGAAGATTATTATGTGATCCTTGGTGCTTTCTGAACTTGGTGGTTTTCTTGTTTCCTAATTGGGTCATGAAACATCTGCCAGAAAACCAACAAGTTCAGAGACCACCAAAGACCCCAACCATTCAACTTTCAGCTACAAATATTCTTTTCTGTCAGTATATCTGATCCTTGGAGACCATCCTTCTTCAGTCTACCTCCGTCTGTGTCCTTTAATTCATGGATTCCTTCTACCGTCTCCAGAGGCCAATAATGCGATGCTTGAGCAAGAACACGGAAACCTATCGAGAAAGTATAGCAGGACCAAAGTCATTTCCTTTGTGGGGACTCAAACAATTGTGCATGATTTCTCTATTTATCTTCCCCTCCCCTCAGCTTCGAACCGTTTTTGTTCTCTTGAGTTAAATTTTAAATTAAAAAATGCTCGGGACGTGGACCTTCCTCCGTTTTTAACTCTGATGAGATCGGTTGAGGTAGACTATCTTTTGAGAAGATCCCACCCAACAAATTACTGAAGGACTTTGGCCTTTCAAGGAACCATTTTATGAAGTGAGGTAACAGTTAAGGTTAGAGACTCTGGAAAGAGTGCAGAGAAGAGCAACAAAGATGATTAGGGGCCTGAAGGCTAAAACATATGAAGAACAGTTTCAGGAATTGGATATATCTAGTATGAGCCGTGTGACACAGTGGTTGGAAGGCAGTACTGCAGGTGACTTTTGCTAATTGCCGGTTGCCAGTAGTTCGGCAGTTCAAATGTCAACTGGCTCAAGGTTGACTAAGTCTTCCATTCTTCTGAGGTGGTTAAAATAAGGGCCCAGATTGTTGGGGGCCAGAGGCTGACTCTGTAAGATTCTTAAGAGAGGGCTGTAAAGCACTGTGAAGCGGTATATAAATGCCATTGCTATTGCTCTTCCGTTCTTACTTCCATCCATCCATCCATAGTGGTTAGAATGCAGTATTGCAGGCTAACTCTGTCAGCAGTTCGATCCTGACCAGCTCAAGGTGACTCAGCCTTTCATCCTTCCAAGGTGGGTAAAACGAGGACCCAGATTGTTGGGGGCAAGAGGCTGACTCTGTAAACTACTTAGAGAGGGCTGAAAAAGCATTGTGAAGTGGTATATCAGTCTACTACTAATTGCTATTGCTCTTCCTTTTCTCCTCCCTCACTTCCTTCCTTCCATCCATCCATTCATCCATAAGTGCTTTGTGAACAGCGTATTGTCTGAATCAATTTGCTTACATAATAGTTGTTTTCCAGTTCCTAATTTCTACCTCTATTATCCAACCATGGTAAAACAAGTCCCATGTTTGAAAATATTCTTTTTATTTTATCTTTAATGTCAATCTGTCCATTTTTGCACAGTCTATACTTTTTTTTAATTACATCTTCTTCCTTTTCCTAGTGCTCTGCAAATACAATTTTTGCTGCTGTCAAAACATGTAACATTAAATATATATTCCATTTATTATACTTCTCTGGTACTATACCTAATAAAAATATTTCTGGCTTATAATCTATATTCTTCCTTCCTTCCTTCCTTCCTTCCTTCCTTCCTTCCTTCCTTCCTTCCTTCCTTCCTTCCTTGCACAATGGTTATAATGCAGTATTGCAGGCTAACTCTGCCCACTGTCAGCAGTTCAATCCGGACTGGCTCAAGGTTGACTCAGCCTCCCATCCTTCCAAGGTCAGAAAATGAGGACCCAGTTTTGTTGAGGCAAGAGGCTGACTTTGTAAACCGCTTAGAGAGGGCTGTAAAGCACTGTGGAGTGATATATAAATCTAAGTACTATTGCTATTTAGTGTCCAGGTCCAGATTATTT